CATTTAAGGCAGAGGCCCCAACCTTTTGGGCACCAGGGATCGGTTCCGTGGAGAAAGGTTTTTCTGTGGACCAAAGAGTGTGTGGTTTTGTGTGCTGCCTGTATCCCACGGATGGCGCTTTGCTTGTTTGTGTGGCCCGGTTGCTGGCATGCCGCGGCCCAGTACCGGTCCATGGACTGGGGGTTTGGGACCCCTGATTTAAGGCACTTCTTGGTTGAAATGATTAGTCAATGACATCACTGTTGCCTGGGGGACACCGTGGAGGTTCCTTTCATGTCCCTGTCAGAGAGTTGGAACGAATAAAAGGAGCCCACCCCACCACGCAGCAACTCTTGATCTCGAACATGGGCTTGCTAACTTCCAACCCAGCGTCCTAACTGCATGAGCCACTCTGCTCCATTTTAAACTTTATATCATGCCTTGTTTCTATCATGGAACTCAAGCAGTTCCATACAAAATGTCTCTTGTAGTCTCTCATTCAGGTCTGGTCTATTTTATTTCAGCAGAGGAGTTCCTTCCTATATCATGAGAACACCTGGTTCTCTGGAATTTGAAGTCCAACCAATATTCTCCAGTTGAACTTTAGAACATTCTGCGTTTCTGCTCTGATCAGCTCAACTAGCATAGCAAATAGTAAAACTAAAGAGCAGTTTGATTTTCCTCTTTTTAAAATGTCTTCTCTCATAATCCCAATGATGGCAGCAAAAAGTAACTTTTGTAGATGGCATTGCAAGGATCTTCAGTACTTCAACAGCTGGGGTGCCCTAAGTGCATGCCTGGAAGCCCTTGAGAAAAGAAGGAAGGACTATTCTGGGTACATTTTAGGGATCCAAGTTCACTTTAGCCTAATGACCATGCAATTTGGTACATCAAACACACCCACGTATCTTTTACAACCTTGGGTCATGCAGGAAAATGTCCAAGGCTAACTTATATAGTGGCAAGAAGGTTTTGTTTTATCTGTGCCCAGGATAAAACTGGAAAGGGAAGCCATTTTGAAAATAATTTGCAGGTGGGCCTAAAGGAAAAGCTTGAGGAAAGAGGGACTATTACTCTTTGTGACATAAAGGCAGGAGATGGGAACAGATAAGACATATCTGAATAAACTGCTAGGTCTTTTGACTTTGTAGGTACTGATTTTTACCATTACGGGGATTAACTGCATCTGCTATTCTATTCATGGCTTATTCTTGGCTTCCTGTGAAAGCTGCAGACTGAGAGATGAAAGTCTTATACAGAGATTTATTGCAGAGACTTGGGTGATTACCTGACATTTGTAATTCTGTGCTAGACCTAAGTGTCTCCCTCATAGAAATGAAGAATTAGCTTTTTTCAGCCTGGCCCTCCAGTTTATTTTACTTACATCTCTATAATCTCAGGCAAGCCTGATGAGGCCAAATCTGGTGCCTCCTATATGTCAAATGCTCCAGTGTCTATAAATTACAGTTGTGCCTTATGGAAACTGAACACCAATTAATTGGGAGAGCAGCACATTGGGGAAGTCTCTGTTAATCAAACAGGCAAAAAAATGTGGATTTTAAATATAGAAATCATGATTACATTCAGCCAGGAATAAAATCTCTCTCTTGCTTCTGTCCATTACAGCCTTCTGCTTTTTATAATTGCAAAGATCTCTGATTGGGAACCTGGAAATTCAGGGAATCCAAAAAGTAGATGAAGGTAGATTAAAAAAAGTTATAGTGCTGGAAAGCAGGTAAAACACAGTCAGTGCTTAAGGAGAATTGTTTGTATTTTGTGGGGTTAAATGAATGTTGCTTTTAAATCTTTTATTCTGATGGTGCAGAAGCTGGCAGCTGGTCAAACTGACCCTAGTTTTCAATGTGAAAGGCAGTTTATTTAAATTTTAGAGATGAACTTCATGTTCTTTATCCATTCCTTTCTTCACAGTATGAATCAGTGTGTTGTGTTGCTATGAAATTGTCTTTTCTTTTAGCTACATCCAAGGAGAATTTCTACCCTATCAGATCCTTTCGATTTAAACACCTGCCTCTCCAAATGGGAAAGTGTGGTTTCCTTGTGTGTGTTGCCTTATTTGGATGGAGCTTTTGTTAATTTCTTTTGTGAGAAGCACATTGGATTCTTTTTAAAAGTTTCTTGAGAGGGTAAATTTGGCTCCTACTGAGAGCAGGCGTAATTGCTTGATGCAGAATTTAAAAATGCAGCTTTTAAAAAGGCTTAAATCTATTTTCTCCTTTTATTTTTCAAGTGTAGCTAAACTGCCCATCACAATGCAGGTAAATTGCTAACGTCGGCTTCTACTAATTGTGGACTCAGCGTAGGGATGATATCTGTCAGGCCCAAAAACCGAGATGACATGTGGTGATTCTGCCAAGCTGAGTTCTTTTTGTTTCCTCGCCTATAGACAGAATCTTGACAGACTGGGGACTCTATTATCTGTATCTACCATATTCACTAGAAACTATTAAGTAGGGACTGTCTTCACCCTCTTCTCTCACACAAAATATCTGGACTGAGTTGCCTCTTACTCCTCTGGACTGCATCCTCTCCCTTCTTGGAATTTATCTCCTTTCTACATTCCATCACATGATGAGAAATCGTATGGATTGTCTGCATTTATGTGCTGCTGTTGTTGAAGATAAATTGTGGTTGATCAATCGTGGGAGTTGAAGACCACACCACTAATCATTGCCATGGTTAAGAAACAGTATAATAGTAGAATACTGTAACAGATAGATTATAAAATGTCAGGAAATAGTCTGTGACTCTGGTGGTAGTGCTGACTGATCTAAATTTGCTTTTTGAAACTGGGTGTGTGTTTTTTGTTTACTCAGGACTGATATGATCTTCAGGCACCAAGAAGGAAGAGAAGCAATGTTTACTTCTCCAAGTGCAGGAGTTGTTTTTCTTGTAATTTCCTTCTAAATGTGCTTCTTCTTTAGAAGCAATGGAATGACAGTGGTATATTGTTTCTATCCAACAACAATCATAGACATGCCTTCTGAATAGGGACTTGTGCCCTTTCCTTTCACTCACATTCAAATCTATAGTGGATGAGGATTAATGTTTTGGAAATAGAGTGGTAATGCAAAATAGTGAGGTGGTTTTGTGCAGATGAATAGGGTCTGGATCCCTCCTCCTCCTCCTCGGATTTGTACTAGAGGTTTTGTGAATTTATTTCTCCAAAGCTATAAGTTTCAGCAACTGTGCTGAAAAGAGGTTCCATTTGTCTCTGCAGACCTTGTGTTAGGAAGTTTCTGATGCTGGAGGCAGATCATCTGTTGCTGGGAGAGTGAGTAATTTGCCTCATCGCAATAGTGCCTCAAGTCCCAACATTATACAATTTTGCTAAAGAAATGATGGTTATTTACTGTTGGGGAGAAAACAAAGGATTATATTCTATTGGCATGACAAAATAACCTGCTTTTGTTGCCAAATTATCCCACTTGTTGAAGACTATTGAGATGGATTCCAATTTGTGTCTTATGAAGTCATTTGGGAGCCTCTATCTTACAGCGAGCATCCAGCCATACTTGGTTGACTTCAGAAGAAAAGCAGGTTGGAGCGAGTTATAACTTAGATAGAGACCAGCAGGAAATTTCATAGCTGAGCCTGGTTTAAAAAGCCATCTAAGAAGACAGTGGCAAACCATTTTATACTGTTGCCAATACAATTACATGGACTTTTCTAAGAAATCAGCAGGAGTCAAGCTTGACTTGAGGGAATCTTTATCTTTTATATGGATAAGGTTATAATCTAAAAACCACATGAAATGCTGCATGCAGAAATGTGTCTTCCATGTTCCTACAGATTTTCTTGTGAAAGAGGCTTCCAGATCTCTGTTTCATTGTTAGGGTTGTTTAGAATTTCTTTAGAATTCCTTTTTGATTTCAAGTGTTTGAGCTTATGCATGCATAAGCAAAGACTCCTGGGGTCTCCATCACTTTTCACATCTTTCCACGTTGCCTCTGCTTCTGACCCAGATAGGAATTCTCTTCTAAGAGGGTTTAACAGAAGCAAGGGTTAACCTTCCTTTCTGAGCAGATGGACATATTTGGAATTATGAGAGGATATTATGGACATTCACACCAAATGGCCACCATTGCTGCCAGAGACAAGGTCATTATTACAACCTTCCAACTCCTTTCCCAGATGCTCAATTTCATCCCATCGTTTCCTTTTTTTTTTCTTCTAGGCAGGTTGGTAACATTTTAAAAGGCAAGATTGGGCTGTAATCACCCTCTGTTTTTATTTTATTTTATTTATTTATATTATCTATTTGGAATGGTTGATGCAGAATTCCAAAAACAGTTTTATAAATGAAGGCTGTGATAGATACACTTTTCAGCACGGTAGACCTCGTTTCATTTATGCTTTAAACAAAATAATCTTTGTAAAACAATTCAGATGGCAAAGGGAGCCTGGCAGGAAACCTTTGAGTGGAGTTCCACTGTCACCAAGTTGCCCACCTGTGAGTTGAAATGTGAAAAGTTACTGATTTTGCCAGTAAGAACAGGGCAACCTTCCACCACTGTAAAATAATAGAAAAAAACGGTATAATGTCACTGAAAATAATGCAGAAGAAACTTTCAGCACTGGGACTAGTCTTGAGAGACTTAGTTGTGAGCAAACGTGTGGTGAGATGTATAAGCTTGGCCCCAAGTGACTGGCATACTATTCTGTACACATCATGTTTTCCTTTTGCAGCTTTTTGTATTTGGTTACACTGATGCTAAAGAAACTGATTTAACGGAGGACTAAAATATCAGGAAGAGTCTTGAAATATTGATGTGTTTGTTGAATAAAAACAGCTTGCTACTTCTGGGCAGCTTTCTTCACATTTCTCTGGAGGAGGCACAACAGATGTGCAAGGGGAGGAAAAAATATGTAATTGGAAAAATATACATTAGATTAAGCAATAATATCAGTAGTCACCTCTGTTCAGACACCATGCTGAGAGCTAGGCTGACTGACAAACTGCTGATAACATTTTTATTATTATTTCTTTGTTTATTCTGTAGCCACAGACCATAAGGCAGACTCTCCAGAGGACACTACAACATTATGAGCATCAAGTTATTGGGTAAGTAGAACCGATTTCTTCAAAACTCCAAAAGGAGTATAGAGATAGATCAGTGAGTGGGTAGCAATAAAAACTAATTGCTGATTGCCAAGATATTGCCTTATGGTAGCTTTACCAACCAGGTGCCCTTAAATTGAATTCGGAGTAGGAATTCTGGCAATTCAATTTAAAAAAAATCCGAATGAGTTTCTGATTGGAGAAAGGTATAAATGAGATATGTTCATACAATGTACTTAAGAATCTATTGACTATTGCACAAGTTGTCAAGCTTGCCTGGTGATAACCCTTTTGAGTTTTTTTGAGAGATGTAAATCCATCCAATTTAGTCAATTTATGGTTTAAACCATTTGCATATCCAAAATGGATTAATTCAGGAACCAAAGTTTGTGATGCAAAGACAGTCATGATGTCCTAAGACGCAACACTTGAGCGGTTTCATAGAAAGTTGTTGGTGCAAAAACAATATTTTGTTTATGTAGATTTTATTTATTTCAATAGGATGTAGGAAGTACATTTTTAATGTATCATTAACACATACTTCATTGACAATTTTTGTAATACCTTTCTTCAATCCCAAATAGATCTGTCATACTCTTTTTCTTTTCTTTGTTTTATAATTTTGTAAGGAAATAGTGAAAATATCTCAAACTAAGCAACTAGACTATGATAAACAATTAAAAACTTGACCTTTTCCTTGACGCAATAAAACATATTGATGCAAAAATTTAAGGAGACTGCTGCCAACATACCCCATCTTCGTTTTTTATTCCATTTTGTGCTCCTTTATAGTTCTTCTCTAGGCAGGGAACTGTGCACTAAGACATCATGCCATAAAGATTGTACCACTTAGGTTCAAAACGATTCAGGGAGGCTCATGCAATGCTCTTTAAATACTTCTAAATACTTTTGTGGGTTGGATTTCATATATTGTTCTAAACTTTCCCTTCAATCTTACTGGAATTTTGAAACAGCAGTGGCTAGCAGGCAAATGAAGTAAAATGTCACACACATTTTCCTTTCTCATTGCAGGCCACAAGCAATGGGAGGGAATAATATTCACATTAAAGTAAGCTTTGAAGAAAATTATTTTTCCTAGAACCTATTTACAATCTAGTTTAGGGGAAATTATCACCTGCTCTATTTATTTATTTTTTACAGTAACTTGCCACGATTCTTCAATAAATGAACAACCAAAAAAGTTGCAGTAATATATTCAATAATTACAACTCATTCAATGGTTACCTTGCCATAAATACTTTAACTAATGTTACTATGAATAGAAATAACAACAATATTGACCCTTGGATAGTCCTATTGAGTCATGGGGTCAATATTAACCACTTCAGAGAACCCTGTTTTAATTAAATTCAAATACCAATTAAGTGCAAATACAATAGCTCCTTTAACAATATCCAGAATCAGTAATAAATTGGCAAGAAGTTGGATTTACCTTGGAAGTCTCTACTATTATATCTCACATCTCTACTGCAGAGATCACTGTAACAATGTCCTATGATATCATCCAGCCTTCTTTTGAGTCTGTGGAGTCTGAAGAGGTAGACAGGGTAGTGTGAGACAAGCAGCAGAGGTTGGATTCCCCACCTCTCTGACTTATTTGAATTGCCCAGGAAAGAATAGATATTTGGATTCAAGGGATGGGGAAATACTTCTTCAGAGGAGGAAGTTGCACTGACTGTCTTAAAGGCTATGTACTCCCTCTGAAAATATCCTCCATTTGAAGGTTCTACAAACTCTCACCTGGTCTCTAACCTGATCTGCAGGAGGGTTGTTGAGAAAGTGATTGGGATTTGTCCATAGAAGATGCAGATTAATTGCAGTCCTTCCAGTTGAGTTTCAGTCTTCAATCTTCAGTCTTCAGTTCCATTAGTTACTTTGTAGATAAGCTGCAGCAGGACTTAAAAAGAAAAGACGGCAACCCTTATAGTCCTGCTAGTTCTTTAGCAGGACCCCGGAGCGCATCTAGTAGGACTGGAGAACATCCAGTACCATTAGATCATAGTATCCTGATCCAAATGTGAAGGATTGGAGTGAGATTAAATTTTCTTCAGATGGAATAACTGCTGTCTAGACAGTGTTTAGACACAATAAAACTCCATTTTTAGTTCTTGGTAAGATCTAGAAATTTTTTTTTCTCCCAATGGACTTACAGCTTTTACTGGAACAGCAGTTGTATATAACAGAGAAAGAGAGTCTTCAGCTTGTATGCTAGATGTTGCCATTTTTGCAACAGGAGTTTTGGCAAAGTCACTCATGCATTGTCTCTTGGTGGGTTGGCTGGGCTTTAGGACAACCTTCAGAGACTACCCAGAAATCACAGCTCACCTAAAACACAAATGTCCAATTGCTGACACACCTGCCCCAGTTCAACAGAATCACAGTCATCTTGCAGGAGCAGGTAGTAGGTTTCTGGATGCAAATCAAAGTACTGGTTTCTGTAGCCCTTCTAGGTTAAAGTCCTCAGATTTTCAGGACAATCTCCATCTCATGATGCTGTAAAGCATGATCTGTTGGTAAACTTGTCATCAGTACACAGATTTTTTTTTTATCTTTTAGAATTTTAATTCTTTGGAATTTTGTTATAGAATTCCATTATTTTCTGAGTTTTTAAAATGAGGATACCTTCTTGCTGTTCTAAAAGCAGGAGGATAGGTTTAAAGGAATACTGACTGATAGTTTTCCCTGGAGGTGACAGTTTTATGGTTTTAGATGTTAAGTGACCACATGATAAGTGAGCACATTTATGAATATTTTATTGTTAAGAGATGTTAATGAAGCTCTGTTGATGGCATACAAATGATCCCCCCTCCCGTTAGTGTAGGAGGCACCATTTAAGGTATTTCCGGGTTGAAGGATTAACTGGTGTTATCACTGTTGCCTGGAGGATACCCATGAAGGCTCCTTTCATGTCCCCGTCAAAAGAGCTGGAGCAAATGAGGGGAGCTCACGCCACCATGCAGCAGCTCTTGGGTCTTGAACACGGGCTTGCTAACCTCCAACCCAGCATCCTAACCACGTGACTCACCGTGCTCTATACAAATGATAATAAATAATAAAATAAAATAAAGTGAAATAAAATAATCCTGAGCTCCCAAGTGGGCTAAGGACCTTGTTTCCTGGTTATGTTAATATCTATGGATTATACTTTTCTTACCTGCTCTAGAGAGAAAGAGAGAGATTGTGTTGTATCTGTAATTGGTTTTATATGATTTTATGATCGTATACATATACAAGAGTGATTTGAGATGAGTGGCTATATAAATTGGATAAGTAAAATAAAAATAAAAGTTATTATTAAATCAGTGTGTTGCAACTTTCTCTTTCCTGTCCTTTTTGCATTATATTTCCCACAGTATTTTTCTCTTGGCCATAGTGCTATTATTTCCAACATATCTATAGGGCAACAGATGGAGGTAGGCTACTGAATACTATAAAGGCACCAGATACTAATGGCCATAGTGCTATTATTTCCAACATATCTATAGGGCAACAGATGGAGGTAGGCTACTGAATACTAATAAGGCACCAGATGAATGGCTAAATGTGTCCAGTTATGTCCAAATAAGTTGTGACTAAAAACAACCTTCCAGCATTACAGAAATGGGTCTCCTTTCATTACTGGCTGCTACCTAATCTTTCATTAATTAGAAATATAAGAATTGAACTTTGAATTTTGTGCATTGGAAGCCTTTGACGTACTTATGAATTTGCTGAGTTGTGTCCTTCTTTTTTTTTACAAGCAAAACTCAAGCCAGCATGGCATGGTAGTTAAGGTGTTGGAGTATGACTGGGGACACCTAGGTTCAAGTCACCTTTGCCATTAGAAATTCACTGACTGACTTTCAAACAAAGCCATGAAAGATTGATCACTCATATCAATATTTAGATTCAACTGAGTAACAGGCAGCTTCAATTTATAATATGATCAAGCAACAGATGCTTCATAAAACTAATTGGCACCATCTCATTGTATCTATTTTTGTTTTCCCTAGTCTGCATTGACTGTCTATTATTTGTTGCCATTTTGCTCCCCAGCTGAAGGTGCATGATAGTCATGCTCGCCAAATTACTTTGTCTCATGAGACAGAAAATTTCAGAGTACCAATCTCCATATACTGTAATATACTCACAATAATAATAAATCCTTGTTCTGAAAGATAACCAAACATCTGCAGCTGGAGGTGATTATTCCATTGCTTAATGGTAGAATTGGATCTAACAGCTACTGCTGGCTCTCACTACAATATTGTATGGATGAGACACTTGCCAGAACTGTATTGATTAAGCAGTGGAGTTATATTGATTAAGCAAATAATACTTGTTGTTTCCAATTATGCCCTTGATTCTTTGGCATACTCTTCAGGTTAGGTTAGAAGTATGTGTTAAAATTCAGCACAAGCTTCTGAGGTTTCCCAAGTTTTAGGTATTTATCCTTGTGGGCTTTTAGTCAAGCTATCCTTTCAACTCTCCTTAGTTAACAATTCAGACACGTCAGAAAAGTACCTCAGGCTAGAATAGTAGAAGAAGCTGCTGCTTAGGGAATCACCTTTGCAAACTTGCTCATAGTTTGATGTCAAGTATAGAACAGATATGGAAGAAAAGGAGTGGAAACTAGAGCAAAGGGTCCATTCTTCTTTTGAAATTCACATTCCTAGACCTCAAGAGTTAAGATGATATGCTGTATGTGTGTATATTCCCTGTTTAGTTTTGTTTCTCCTCCTTTATTTTCTTCAGAATATCAATGAGGGCTATAAGCTTCCCTGTTAGATAACCTGTAAGTAAGTACTTGAAAACTACAAAGTTTTTTCTGTTTTAGGAAGGAGAAATATGTTATACATTTGTGGACAAATATGGATCTTCAGATTCCGTTTTCTTGCTTGTTGCATTTTATTGCTGGTTCATTTCCATAAAAAAGATGGAAGTATTAGATCAGTCTTTCTCAGCCTTTGCAGCTTGAAGATATGTGGACTTCAACATTCAGAATTCTAGGAGTTGTTCACACATCTTTAAGCTGCCAAGGTTGAAAAATTCTGTATTAGATTATGTTTTCAAAAAGAATGATCATTCTTCCTCAGAAAGAGTTGTTGTTTCAAATACTCAGATGGTCTTTGTTTTGCTACCATAAACCGCCAATTGTATGTTTCTTTCTAGTTATAGGGATGCTGAAAAGAATTTCCACAATATTTCCAACCGATGCTCCTACGCAGACCATTCTGGCAATGATGAAACTGAAGATGTCTCAGGAATTCTCCAGCGTACAGCAAATATTCTTGGTACTCTATTATTATTTTCCACTTTGACTTTTGTTTGGAAATAAATGTGTATCTAAGCAGAAGGTTGTTTCTGTTCAAGTTAAGCAATTTAAGTATAGGAATTCTGATTAGCAGGCTGTGTAAATTTAGGTTGGATGGAATTGCAATTAGGTGGCTACGTAGCAGACTCAAGAGATTGTACTTAATTCTTAACAAGTCCTCTTCAAAGAAAGTTAAAGACTATCAATTGTGTGCTTGGTACTCTTCATTTTAATGATGACTTGGATGAGGAGGTGGAGAGAAATACTTAATAAATTTGCAGATGACTCAAAAGTGTATAGCACTGATGAAAAGGATTCTGGATTGGTAAATAATGACAAATTGAACATGAATTTGCTATAAGCCACCCACAGTCTCTTCAAAATGAGATGGTCAGCATATAAATTTAATAAATAAATAATAAACACACAAACCAATAAATAAATATTTTGTGGTATGACATGCCTGCAAAAAAAGAAAAGTCAAGTAAATGGAATTTTAGGGTACAATAATAAAAGTATAGTTTCTAGAGAATTCTGAATTCTAAGATCCACTTTACATTCTATGCTTAGTTCTGGATACCATGTTTTGAAAAAGTGACAGAAATAACTCGAAACAACTAGAAGCTAAATGATACAAAAATATGTTAGACTTAAGAAAAGTTTGTTATTTATCAATCACATTTTTGACCCCTCTCTCTCAGAGTCGACTGGGAGAGGATCTGATGCATCTCTTAAATCAGCAGAATTCCATAACCAGTTCTTTATCATCCTAGAATTCAGGAAGTGAACATTTATTTTGAATTTATAGGAAGGTAGATTCTTTTTGAATTGTCAGAGAAGCTTCAATAAGATGATAGCTGTTGAGAGTGAAATGCATAAAGGAGTGGTAAGATCTTTATTGTAAGGTAGCTTAATAGGGTTACTGTCCTATAAAGATAATTCTTCTAGCTGTAGTGTTCGTAAACTGATCTTCATCCTAACCTGAGATTGTGCAGTTGCTCTAAATACTCAAAGATCATGTAGAAAGGAACATCTTTTTTTTAAATCAGACTTTTGACACCTTTCAATCCTTAGAGTAGGTATTTCTCTTTTTCCTTCTTAAGAGGGAAGAGCATTATCTGCAAGCTCTCTTAAGCCCTGTGTGGTTTCTCTTTCGTACTAATTGAACCTCTTACTATAATCCTTTTTTCTCCCAAATGGCTTATTCTTCTGCCTTAGATTTCCTGTATTAGTATGAGTGATGTTTCCTTCAGACTTGCTTCCATATCAATTGGCAAGTATGACAAATGATTCTTTTATGACAATAAAAGCAATGCCACCAGAGCTTCACAAATGCTCATACTTTTGAAAGTCTTGATTTAAGTCCTCAAGATTGTTCATGTCATGCTTTCCTAGAAATTTGCAAGTCACTAGCTTTGTACTTTGTATACTTCATCTTGTTTTGAAAGCTGTCCAAGGAAATTCTCACGGTCTGCAAACGTTCTAGGAGCTTATTTGCCTTCTGCATTTGTATTTTTAAGTGAGTGGATTTTTGATCAAATAATTTTGAATTTGAATTTTTTGAATTTTATTATATTTATACCCCGCCCTTCTCCCGGAGGACTCAGGGCGGCTTACAGCCAGTTTAAAAACAACTAATACAATACAATACAAAATTTAAGAAAATGATTAAAAATAAATATTTAAATAGGCCGCTTCTACTAAAATTTAGTTAAAACCAATTTAAAATACCCCTAGGCCAGTCCTGCCNGAAGGAGGGGAGATCCGGAATCACCCGGATCTCTGGGGGCAGCTCGTTCCAGAGGGTGGGTGCTCCAACAGAGAAGGCTCTCCCCCTGGGGGTCGCCAGCCGACACTGTCTGGTTGACGGCACCCTGAGGAGGGCCTCTCTGTGGGAGCGTATCGGCCAGTGGGAGGTAATCTGTGGCAGAAGGCGGTCTCGGAGGTAAGCTTTTCCCCCAGTAATATTGCAAAGGAAATTGAATATTTCAGTGATCAACTTAGTTTTTCTAGCCTCAGGAGTTGCACAATCCCTGTTATAAATCTGTGCATATGGGTAGAAATTGGATGTGTAAATAATTTCAAATTTTGCTGAAAAAGATTAGATTAGGTGCATATGTGTGATGATATTGGATAAATCTTCCAGAAAACAAACACACACACACACACTCACTCTAGCAAACTTTATAAAGTTATGAATCTTTATCTTACTAAAACTTAGTAAGGGACTGTACGATCCATACGTAGATGAAATGCAGTTTAAAGGAAGCTATTTAGTATGTTAAATAGTAAAGTTAATAAACACCACGCTATTACCACTGGCCTGGTACACATATCAAATCTTTTATTTGCAAAGGGGGTAATTTGTAGCTTGTAATTCAGAAACTGACCCCATAAAGCTCAATGTTGTTAACTATCATTTAAGTTCATGTAGTTGCCAACATAAATTCTGTGGACATACAGTATACTAGATTGCTCTGTTAATGTGATGTTAATAATAATGCAATTTAGACTATATTTAGCCATAGCCTAAATTATGTACTGAAATGTTTCTACTGGAATACTTGTGCATGGGAACAACTTATTTGGACATAACTGGACACATTTAGCCATTCAATGTCATATGCTTTTTAGCATTATTTTGATGGTGAGAAAAATGTTTACATTTCCCATTTTGAACATCTGGAGAACATGCATTTTGGATGTACTGTTACCTCTAAGGCAGTGGTGGCGAACCTATGGCACGGGTGCCAGAGGCAGCACTCAGAGCCCTCTCTGTGGGCATGCGCGCCGTCACCCCAGTCCTAGGCCTTCAGCTGGGTTTTATAAAACCTTTTCGCTTTAGGCCTCCGCCGCCATGTGGGAAAAAAAAAAGATTCAATCAGTCAATTTCAACTTCTTGCGGGAAAAAAAAAAGATCTTGCAAAGTTGGAATTGATTGTAAACTTTTTAGTCCCACCCAGTCTGCCGTTACCACCGCAGCCATGCCCACCCAATTAGCCACGCCCACCCAGTTGGCCACACCCAGCCAATGGGCCACACCCACCCGGCACTCGACGATGCATAAGTGGGTTTTGGGTTGCAGTTTGGGCACTCAGTCTCTAAAAGGTTCGCCATCACTGCTCTAAGGCCTCTAATCTGCAATGGTTAAATTCAACTAACACCAGCTTTATTCATTATGTTAATAATTAATTTGTAATGTTTGTGTTTGTCTTAATGTTGATTTCTGTTTCCTGTCATTGAATATATCAGAGATAAGACCTTTTTAAGCTGCACATGATTGCTATCCATACTTTTTGCTATTTTCCACTTCAAAAGCCATGCCTCACAATAATTGCCTGTTTACCCCATTTTATTTATTCTGTGAGCTGGTGCCTTCCAACTACACCTGTTTGGTGATTACAGGTCTTGTAATAGTTCTGAGTTCTGACTCATTTTAAGTATCCCATTCTTTGATAAATTTCTATATAGCTAGACTCTCCTCCCAAATGTCTATCACTAGCTTACCAGGTTGATCTCTTTTCCCAAACTGGTCCAGAATGCGGCCGCGCGGGCGGTGTTGGGAGGGACTCGTCACTCCCATGTAACGCCGCTGCTGCGCGAGCTGCACTGGTTGCCAGTGGCCTTCCGGGTGCGCTTTAAGGTGTTAGTTACCACCTTTAAAGCGCTCCATGGCATAGGACCTGGCTACCTCCGAGACCGCCTTCTGCCACAGATTCCCTCCCA